AAGTATTTTAATATGAGATTTTTAATCTTACTAATATTATAAATGCGAATGTTTAGATGGATGTTTAGAGTTTGTAGCCTAAACGGCTGAACGAATCTCGATGAAATTTAACGAACATATAGGCTACTCAATTTTTTTAATATCACGCAGAAGAAATCGCAGGCGAAAGCTAGTAGTTGAATTAATTAAAACTTATTCCAATACATAAAAGTTTAAAATAACTAAGACATTAAATCACAGGCACCATTGAACTGATTTAACATTTTATTAATTAAAAGATTTGACTAAAGGAGGTTAAATTTTGAGTAACTGATATATCTAAATAAGATCCATATGTAAAAGCATAAATAAAATAAATATCTCATCTATAAGCTATTGAAACTTATAAAATAAAACTTTATTAAACTAAATATAACATATGAAGATTCTCAGATCTCGGGGAGAATCGTAAAAAGAGTTATAAATGGGGATGACAGAAGTTTCTCGGGATATTACTGATAATATTACGGGATGAATAAAAATTCCTATTTAGCGGACTCTTTGAACGGAACGGAGAGATGAAGGAAGTTAGGGGATAGAAACTTCCGGAAGTACACGTGTGAACGCAAGTCATACGTTACACGGAACATGGGCACACCTAACTTTATGAATAAACTAGCTTTCGCCCGCGACTCCGTCCGCGTGGAATTAAAAAAAAAAAGTGAATAACGTATGTGTTCTTCGTTGGATCCGTTAGGCCGTTTGGCTACAAACAAACCCTTAATAGTATGTTTTCCGAAGGCCTAATTTTAGTCCCTTTCCACCCTTTTCTTAAGAGGAAAGGATGGGAAGGAAAAGTGGTTTTGACGTTGGAGGAGACGCATAGGAAGGGGAAATATCCTCTTTATGTGCGTCTTCTCCTCCGTCAATTAAGGGTAGGCAACGCATCTGCAATTGCGGATATTTATGGGCAGCGGTCGCTTTCCATTTCGGTGGATTTAGGTGGCCGCTTGCTCGTTTGCCACCTTATGTTATTAAAAAAAAAAACAGTTTAGTCTGACGAAAAATAACCACTGCAAGACGTAGAGTCGTCCTGAGAGTCAACATTCAGTTTCAAGTCTATGAGACTATGTTCAGTTGTAAAACATTTTGACGATAATGACAGACATAAAACGTGCACGTCAGATATATGTTTAGTAACCAGAAAATATTTAGTCACTTAATCAGCGACAAAAGCTGAAATAGTTGTCAGAATTAGATCTTGTGAAGAAGTTAGTCGCAAGTTGTATAAGGCGGGTCGGGAATAACTGAGTACTGGGGGATCATAGTTTGCGACTTGCATCGCAATGGAACTCATTTTAATCGGATTGCTTTTATAACGAGTCCCGCTCATTTACATCTCTGATTAGATTCTCGTCTCGTTATCGGAGTTCGTTATTGGTCTCGCCTGAGGGTTAAGTTCGTAATCGAATTAAAATTTTACAAATACCTAATACAATTATATTATTCAAACTTTTGTTGAAGTGATATGCTTTTAATTAGTTTTTTTGTCTTTAGGTCTTATGATAAATTTATCTTGTTTTAAGTAACGAACTCCGAGGACATAGGAGTCATTACTCCAAGTGTGGGTGTTGTGCGTTTAATAAAGTGGTAACATTAGCATAAAGAATGTATAATGATAGTAAAGTAACCGAGCTACTGAATACAAAGAAAGGAATTCCTGTGAAAGTCGTTCTTATAAAGTTTTAAGATGTTGTTATAAGCGTGACTAAATATGTTCCATATTAATATAATAGAAACATTTTACTTTTTTCTTTCATCGTAAAGTACCTGGATTGTAATTGTTTCAGAATTTAAAATTGTGTCCAAGAACGAAACCAAAACACGAATTAAATTCTAAAAAGTTTTATTATTACCTTCATTTATTATTTGTACTGTCATTCTCCTCTAGAATCTACTCAACATTTTTACAGTCTCGATTAACTTTCTGCTTATTCTCTAATTAACATAACAAATGCTTAAGTTAAGTAATTTTATGATTTCCGTGATATTTTCACTTACAAACATAAACATCCTATATGTCTCAAGCATATAAAATCGGAATTAACGTCCAAAAATCATGTTTATTACAAATAAAAATGAAGTTCGGTAAATTACGAAGGTAATCTGCTAACAATCGTGCGATCGCTCCGCTCGTATGTTAAGCTTTTGATGTATTATTATCTGACGAAATAAAACCGAATACAAATGATTTTTAGAGATCCTCAAGTTCACGACAAAAGGCCATTAAGAAAAAAAATCACACAAACATCACTCGAGTTACTATTTTTAAATTTTTTAGTATCTACTAGAAAATGGAGTCCATTTTGCTTAAAACTGCTTAATAGTTAAAATGTTTTTTTAAGTTACAAGCAAAACTAGTAAAAGCCTAACTTTTGGTCTAAAACAGTAGTAGTAGTAAATAAATAAAAAACAGTAGTAAATTAGTAACCCAACACGATTTTTTCTTAAATTTAGACACCGGTATACTAAAAACATAAGGTGTTAACAGGTTTTGACTAAAGAAATAAAATCGAAATAACACTTAATTATTCAATACATAAATTATACGGAACCATAAAAAATAAAACCGAGGATAAGTTTACAATTTCTGTAGCATACACGAAGCGTGACTTGGTAACATAAACCCTTTCCCTGTATGTATGCGATCGTGTGTTCATCGCATTATAGCAGTGAACCTTCAACATTTGTCAAAATATTCTCAAATGACAATAATCTACATATGAAGTATATTCCAGTTGCAAATACTATGCACATGTAAAATATATGTAAATTGAATTATATGAATACATTCTATTTGTACTTATCTCAGTGGTACAAAAGGATACGTGAAACAATTTTGATAGAAATGCATTTATATGGAAAAATTGGTACCAGTTTGTACAACAAGAAAGGCAGAATTTTGTCTTATTGCAAACTTTTTTTAAATCCTCTGTATTTTGTACTTCATGGTTTATTTCTGCAGTATGCAAACTTTGTAAAAGTCAAACGATAATATCCACCGTTCGAAAGCGACATAAATCACCTCTTAAATCATGTAACAATGACATGAGAATGTACCGGGAATTTAACACAAGTTTCGTGCATGCTAAAACATATTGACAGTGAAAATGCAAAATATGGGATAAGAAAATAAAAGGAAGATTTATCATACTTCGTACCTATATTTTAAAATTTGGATGATTGTTGCAAAATGGATGGAATGGATATAATTTTGCATGCATTACATAGTTTAAAACAAGACATAGTCTGACTAACTAAATTTTAATTACATATCCGCATGATTGAAGTCGCAGGCAACATCTAATATAAGAAGAGTACTTTCTAAAGACTTTCGTTATGTTATTTATTTAATTCCCATATATATTCAACATTACATTTAACAAAAGAAATGTGAAATTTCCATATAAAAGTAATCATTAGATAGATTAATTAACAAATAAGAGAATGAATTGTTAAAAAGCTACGCTATTTCTATGCTTGTTACAAATACAATCGAAACAGTAAAGGAATGCCGTTTAAAGCTATTCCCGCTACCGAATCTACAGTCTCATTAATATCAGATTACAAACAAAACGCATTAAAGCAGACGCGGCCCACGCCGACCTCTGATTGATTACATTACTTTTTATGTTAACTTTTTTTACCATGTGCTATTCTACCTGTAATAGGTGTACAAGCCTACTGTATTGTGTTTTAAATATATTGTAGTTACAGATCATTGTTTAGAAAACTTTTAGTTGCTTTTAATTATTAATTTATTCTGTTATATGTCAGTTTTAATTTGATCAATAGACAATAATATTAGTAGTTTATTTACGTTTAATACTTACAAAAATATAGTTCTATTTTTCATACGTTAGGATATGGCTACATTTTTTATTAAAAAAATTTAACGTCGGCGTACAGAAATACGCTGTTTATTAATAGTTTCAAAACATTAGTAATTAAATAGCCTATGTTACTCACAGATAAATTAGCTTTCTGATGGTGAAAAAAAATTTAAATCGGCCCAGTAGTTTTTGAGTTATTTCATACAAAAATACAAATCTTTCCTCTTTATAATACTAGTATAGATGAATTTAAGAGCCCTCGTGTACGTGTCCATTAAATGACAGTTAACCTTGTTAATGTAAAACGAGTGTTACAGACAGGCCAACTTTATTATGCCTCCTGTTTCAAAATAGCCTTTTATAAACGAATAATTTTTATTCGTGTCCCAAACGCCGACCCGGAAATTAAAACGGGAGTGCGCTTACTTCTGATAAAATGCGGGCAAATGGCTTCGGAAATATGTCGGGAGAAGGCGACAGATGTTAATATTACTTATAGATGTGTTGCGTTTTCCTGGAGATAGTTTAATTTATATAAATAAGGAACACTACTACGACGATCGGACATTATTGGTGACCCAAATATAATAAAAATCTTCCATCAAAACAAAATGTTTGTAAATTAAAATGCCTAAATTATTAAACGAAGCAATCTTGTCCAAAGTATTAATTTATTCTGAAAATCCTATTAACATCTAAAACGCGATTTTCAACGTTCAACTTTGAACGAACGATATATCGCTTCATTAACAGCGCATCTCATATTAACAAAAGATTAAATGTCACTGAAAATAGAACCTTATCTTAAAGCAACAAGGCCTATGCGGCATATGCCTAGAGCATAGTAACTTTAAAATCTAGACATTTTGTCCGTAACATGTGCGCTATTGTCGCAAGATAAATTAAAAAAGTTACAGCGTGGAGC